CAAATATCTGAATACGTTCACCTCCTCCATACTCTCTCCCTCCAATCTGATATTCAATCTTTCTTCACCTAATCTTTTTGTTATCCTCATAACCTTACTCTTTCCTGTATTCACCTTTAATTTTCTTTTTTTGCACACCCTACCAAATTCATCCACCAATCTCTGCAACTTCTCTTCAGAATCTCCCAAGAGCACAGTGTCATCAGCAAAGAGCAGCTGTGACAACTCCACTTTGTTTTGTGATTCTTATCTTTTAACCCCACGCCTCTTCCCAAGCCCTCGCATTTACTTCTTTTACAACCCCATCTATAAATATATTAAACAACCACGGTGACACCCACACATCCTTGTCTAAGGCCTACTTTTACTGGGAAATAATTTCCCTCTTTCCTACATACTCTAACTTGAGCCTCACTATCCTCTTTAAAAAACTCTTCACTGCTTTCAGAAACCTACCCCCTTACACCATACACTTGCAACATCTGCCACATTGCCCCCCTATCCCCCCGTCATACGCCTTTTCCAAATCCATAAATGCCACAAAGACCTCTTTAGCCTTATCTAAATACTGTTCATTTATATGTTTCACTGTAAACACCTGGTCCACCACCACCCCCTACCTTTCCAAAAGCCTCCTTTGTTCATCTGCTTCCTATTCTCCGTCTTACTCTTAATTCTTTCAATTAAACTCTACCATACATTTTAAACCAAGGTACACTCAACGACTTATCCCCCTATAATTTTTGCACTCTCTTTTGTCCCCTTTGCCTTTATACAAAGGAACTATGCATGCTCTCTGCCAATCCCTAGGTACCTTACCCTCTTCCATATCATTTATTAAATAATTGCACCAACCACTCCAAAACTATTCCCCACCTGTTTTTTAACTTTTCCCTATCTTTATCCCATCAATCCCGGCTCCCCTTACCCCCTTTCATTTTACCTACTGCCTCACGAACTTCCCCCACACTCACAACTGGCTTTTCCCTCACTCCTACAAGATGTTATTCCTCCTTGCCCTTACACGAAATCACAGCTTCCCTATCTTCATCACATTTAACAATTCCTCAAAAATTCCCTCCATCTTCCCAATACCTCTAAAACTCTCCATTTAAAAAACTCTCTCTCCTATTTTTAAATGACAAATCCATTTGTTCTCTAGGCTTTCTTAACTTGTTTAAACTCATTCCAAAAATTTTTCTTATTTTCAACAAAATTTGTTGATAACATCTCACCCCCTCTCTCATTTGCTCTCTTTTTTACATTTCTTCACCACTCTCTTAACTTCTCTCTTTTTTCTCCATATACTCTTCCCTCCTTGCATCACTTCTACTTTGTAAAAACTTCTCATATGCTAACTTTTTCTCCCTTACTACTCTCTTTACATCATCTTCCACCAATCGCTCCTCTTCCCTCCTGCACCCACTTTCCTGTAACCACAAAATTCTGCTGAACACTCTAACACTACATTTTTAAACCTACCCCATACCCCTTCGACCCCATTGCCTATGCTCTCATTAGCCCATCTATCCTCCAAATAGCTGTTTTAAAATCTTACCCAACTTTCCCCCTCTTTTAGTTTATAAACCTTTACCTCTCTCTTCCCTGATGCTTCTATTTTCCTTGTATCCCATCTTTCCTTTTACTCTCAGTGTAGCTACAACTAGAAAGTGATTTTGATATATCTGTGGCCCCTCTATAAACATGTACATCCCGAAGTCTACTCAACAGTCTTTTATCTACCAATACATAATCCAACAAACTACTGTCATTTCGCCCTACATCATATCGTGTATACTTATTTTTCCTCTTTTTCTTAAAATATATAAATATAATAATATATAAATAGTTATATATAAAATATATATAATAGTTATATATATATATATATATATATATAAATAAAAATATATATATATATATATATATATATATATATATTATACCTTATTATATATATAAAATATATATATTATATATATATATATATATATTATATATATATATATTTATATGTATATATATAAAATATATATATATATATATATATATATATTTTTATATATATATATATATGTATATATATATATATTTATATATATATATATGTCGTGCCGAATAGGCAGAACTTGCGATCTTGGCTTAAATAGCAACTCTCATCTTGCCCTACAGCACAAGCGAAAATTTGTGTATGCAATAATTTCGCCAAAATCATTCTGAACATAACGAAAAAATGTATTTCATTGTGTTTGTTTAATATTAAATTACTGTAAACAAATCTAAAATATATTTAGTTAGGTTAGGCTAAAATAAATTGCTCTTGTTATAACAAGGTTAGGTTTCTTTTGGCGCCAAATTAAAAAAAATTGCATTAACATTAATGAAAAAATATATCTTTAAACGTATAAGAGAAAATTTTGGAAAGGACTTAATTTTAAATGAGTTCTTGCTAATTGACCAGTTTTACATATTCAGCACGACATATTATATATATATATATATATATATATTATATAATATATTTATAAAATATAATATATATATATATATATATATATATATATTATTAATATATATATATATATATATATATATTTTATATATTATATAATATATATTATATATATATATAATATATATTATATATATATATATATATATATATATATATATATATATTTTATAAAATATCAGCCGTACGTGTGTGTGTGTGTGTATCAGTAAGCGCTAATTGCAAAGTTAGAAAGTTAGTCTCTACTTCGCACGTGTACAACATGTTAACTATTTCCTTTAAAGCCAGGGTGATAGTGACCGTTTGTCCAATTACTTCGTCTTTACCAGGCCTCTGACTCCAGAATATTGTAACAAATAATTAATGTATAAATCACTTTATCTTCTTTCAAGTTATCCTTCGCAGCTCCAGCATCGACACGATAGTTTAGCTCATGTTTTTACTTAGCAGCTTTACTGTGTGGACATTGTGCTTCTAACGACGCAATACGCGCATATTGGCCATCTAGCAACCACACTGTGTACACATTGTTCATCTAGCAACCACACAGTGTACACACTGTTCATCTAGCAACCACACTGTGTACACATTGTTCATCTAGCAACCACACTGTGTACACATTGTTCATCTAGCAACCACACTGTGCACACATTATTCATCTAGCAACCACACTGTGTACACATTGTTCATCTAGCAACCACACTGTGTACACATTGTTCATCTAGCAACCACACTGTGTGCACATTGTTTGTTGAGAAATGGGATTACCAGCTAAGCTTATACATTAAATATAGGGAAAACTTAACTTAGAAAGACAGCTCATCGCCTGCACAGCCGCCCCTGCAGACGAGGTCTTGAGAAGCTTTCGAAGTCATTCCTCAACGGGCTGAAATGAGTTATAATTTGTAAGATTATAAATTACCCCTAGGGGGTGTTATGTCAGCATATTTCATTCACTGATTGCTGACAAAATTACGTACTTGTGTGGACTCAAAAGTCCGCACCTCACTACCGACTATAGGTTCATTACAAACTCCTTGCGACTCAAGAACTGCAACGTCCCCCGTTTCTACAGAAATTTTGCAACCTACCTTGCTTTGTAGCGTGAGCTATGGTGTTCTTCACACCTTCGACAGGTATCGGTGACTTGATAGAAGCTAAAGTGTCCTTGGATGTCCACGTCTTCCATAGTCTAGGAATACGCACACTGGTACACTATGTTCCACAAGATTTGTCTTTATTGTTCACAATCTTATCACTGAAGAAGCTGATCACACTTCTCTGTAAGTGTTTATTGTGTTTTGTGAGACACTTTGTTCACACTAACACACAGATCGTTCTTTGTTGGTTATCCTGGCGTCAGTGTCACTCTCAGTAGAGTCAAAAGTAATCTGAAGACGCCACAACGCCCCAAGCCGTTACTCCCCCTCGAACATAAAGGAAAAGCTGACCTAGTACTTTTGCTTCCTTGCCACTTCCTCCATGAAGCAAAGCAGAATATTTGATTCTTGCTGTCTTAAGCATAGACAGCAATGTACACTATCTTTACCATGGTAATAAAGTGGGAGCAGGATTTTCCTTAATTGTCATGCTAAGGTAAGAGATGGACTGTCTTTTATTAAAGTACACTTTGCAACACTGGAGTCTTGCACGGAGCGGCGGTCGCTTGACCACGTCGCATACTCGTACTGCATCTGGGATCAATTACTTGCTGTAGCAGTAAACAAGATGCTTGCCCCTTCTGAGAGGGCTGGGCCCCTCAGGGCCGAAAGGGGCTGAAGGGGGCTGATACCCCCTCCTGGAGAAAATTTCTCCACATTGTTCATCTAGCAACCACACTGTGTACACATTGCTCATCTAGCAACCACATTGTGTACACATTGTTCATCTAGCAACCACACTGTGTACACATTGTTCATCTAGCAACCACACTGTGTACACATTGTTCATCTAGCAACCACACTGTGTACACATTGTTCATCTAGCAACCACACTGTGTACACATTGTTCATCTAGCAACCACACTGTGTACACATTGTTCATCTAGCAACCACACTGTGTACACACTGTTCATCTAACAATCACATGTTGTCACAGATAACACATGATCATCTTCAAGGGCCTTGAGATACCAGAGGCTTGCCCTTGGCCAAGTAATTCCCATATAGTTTGGATCCTCTTTCAATAGTAAAGCAGTGAGTGGAGAACGTGAACTATGTGAGGCGCCTCTGTCTGCTAAGCATACTTCGTGGACTAAGCTTGTTTAGATAGATAAGTAGGGAGTGCATTCCACGAACTGTGCTTGGTGACATGCGTCTGACAAGCACAGTTCTTGAACGAGTAGCCAGGTATTTTCCTTCCTATAAATGGTGAAGACATTTCCCCAGTCGTTAAAATTTCAACAGTGCATGACCGCAACGAGTTTAGAAGTTTTAGCTGTATAAATAAATTGCCCAAGTTGCATGAGTTTGTTGTTTCTTCTTCCTGCAGGTGACTAAGTTCTGCGACGTTCAAACCCACAACAGAGAGGCTCCAACGAAGCAGAACGCGCTGTGTGACGGTCGCTCAGCCTGGGAAGTCATGAGAGAACGCCAGGACTTCCGGGAGCAGAGGTAAGTAGGATCTAGGATGTACTGAATGAAGAAGACAGATTCTACTGCTAACCATGTACTTTTGTAGGGAACAAGAAACACCAGCACATCGAAGTACTTAGAAGAAATTGATTATACATAACGCGCAACCCACAACAGAAATATAACACGGTCTTAAAATATTTTGCAAATAATAATAATAATAATAATAATAATAATAATAATAATAATAATAATAATAATAATAATAATATAAGAACGTGACAAGGAAAGCAAAACAAATAATGGATCGGTATTCTCAATTTACTGTCAGAAAGACAACAGGTTTTGTAGTAATAGCAAATGAGAACGAGAATAACGAGAAAATACAATATACATTACAGGATCAATTTTGTTTTTTTTGCTAAACGATGTCTTAGTTATATATAAGAATAAATCAACGATTATTATTATTATTATTATTATTATTATTATTATTTATTATTATTATTATTATTATTATTATTATTATTATTATTATTATATTCATGGAGAAGTAAGCTCGTAGAGGTCATACCGCTCTTGGTATTGGCAGGTAATCAACTTGGATGCACGGAAGAGGAAGAAAGAGCAATTCACCTTCAAGTCATCTCCCCACCACCTTCTCCTCCTCCTCCTCCTCCTCCTACTCTCTCCTTTTCCTCCTCTTCCTCTTGAAGAGAGTTAAAGAGTACACACTTTTGCAAGACATTCAAAGCCTGGCCAAAGAAATGGTGCCCGAGACGCTGGTATGAAGGGAGTGTTACTTACGGCTCAGCAGGTACTTTAAGAGGTACCGAAGCTTAAAGAAATAGCGACTCTTGGAGGTAGCTTTCTTTAGAGATCATCGGGAATATCTGCGACGCCTGGAGAGCAAATGATATGCATTGCTAAAATTATCTGAAAAGTAACTAGCCTTCAGGGCGTAACGTCAACAGGTACTGGACTACGGCACAGACACGAAACAAGCTTTTCAATGGTTAACGTTTTGCTCAATTTAGAGACAAAACTGAAAGTAAAAATATTCTGCATACTTGTGTCTATGTTCAAAATGAAATTAGGAAAATGTACACGAGTTGATCTTTGATAAATAATAGAGGAAAAATAAATGAAGGATAAGGATTTTAATAAGTAGACAAGGTAACATATCCTCGTTTGAAAACCATTAGAGTTAGGGATGATAAGAGGTAGGAAGAAAAATATACCTTATCTTCAAAATTGCTACAGTTATAGATAGGGAGATGTAGCAAGGGAAAAAAAACATTCTAGTTTTATATTTATTAAATTAATGATGGAAAGAGGAAGCAAAGGTAGAAAGTATCTCAATTTAAAAATTATCTGAGTAAGGGATTGTGAAAGATAGGAAGGGTCAGATATCATAACTTTAAGTTTATTAAAGTTAATGAGGGTGAAAGGTAGGATGGGGCAGACATCCTAACTTTAAAATGATTAAGCGAGGACACATGAAAGACCTGAAGATGAAGGTCAAAAAAATATCGTTTGAATAGGAGCTGGAGGAAGAGGGTTATAAAGGCAGTGAATTCTTTTTGGTCTAAATAGGACGTGTCCGTCTGTGTAGAGCTCGATGAAGCTCTACACAGAGTAAAAACATTCTCCCAGTAAAAGGCTTTTTTGTAGAGTGATTTCTTAATCACTGTAAACAAAACGCTTCGTTAACCAGATTAAAAAAATGTGTAATCAATTATCCTCCTTCCTCTGGGTTTCCTATTGTTTCTCATTTGATATTCGTGATTATCTGTTTTTAATTACCTCTTCGTAATTACCTATTTATAGCAAAAGGGACAGAGCTAAGCTCGTTGTCTTCCTTCTTCAGTATTTATGTTATCATATAATAAGCTATGTGACACGTCAGGATATCTTATTAATGAAACTGAGATGCCACATATATGAAGCAATATCCCCAAATTTGCTTTTAACATATAAGTGAACTGTAGATATAAATCCGGACGTATATGTGTCAATTCCTTTAGGGCCTAGTTCCTAGGCCTTTTGTGTATCCATATGTTCTTGAGTTTCCGTCCACAGGATGGATATAGGGAGCACAATAAACTATCAACTTGGGTGGCAAAATCTAATCAATAGCCACTGGTTTTAGATAAGTTACGGATACCTGGTAAAACCGATTTTATTTATTTCTGCGTTCTATCATTTTCATGTGTAATGGGTCACGCATAGCTGTGTACCGTCATGGTCATGTGCACGAGGTCACGTGTGCACACAAGCATTGTGCTCCAGGGCAAATATCCATCAACAGTTCTGTGGCTTTCATTTTCCCAGGAAGTCGATCACGTGTGTATGGAAAACAAATTACTGTGAGGTGCGCATGAGAGCAGACGAATTTATTTACCAGTCTCGTGTTCACACTGATGCAGAGAATTCATTGTATTCCGATATTTATATAAAATACAACTACACTGATTTATGGACATCTTATAAAAGATGTATGAAATGTTTATTATTATTGTTATTATTATTATTATTATTATTATTATTATTATTATTATTATTATTATTATTATTATTATTATTATTATTATTGTTGTTGTTGTTGTTGTTGTTGTTATTATTATACTGAAGGCCAAACAACTCCTTTGGAAAAAGAAGCAATCAGGCTTGATCCGAGGAATGGGAGGGTATCTCCAATTACTCGGATCCAGAACCCAAACCACAACCCATCATCCCCCCTGAAGAATGCATAAAAATACGACCTTATATCAGAGCACTGAAGACATTTTAATCTGGATAATTATGCAAATCACTCCACTCACTAAATAATTTCAGTTAATAGAAAAATCCCATTAAAATTACCTTGCGAAAACCTCACAGTTCAAATAACTGGAATGGACTTAATTTTGATCGACGGGAAGCAAATATTTTTTTTTCAAATGTCAATTCACTATCGGCAATGTTCGAAATTGTGAATAACAACGAATAACTAGATTTTTTTTTTTTCATTGAACTGAGTATATCTGATTAAATCAAGCTTTTCCAGCTGGTCAAATCACAGGTAAAAATCGCAGGTGTTCTGTAAAGAGTATTAAATGTCCTCTTCTATTTAATTCTACGCTGGAATACATGTATTTGTATCTTATGTTTAAAAAAATGTGAACCGCTTTAAATGTCACAAACTAATCAACTAAATGATCCAAAGATTACAAATAATAATAATAATAATAATAATAATAATAATAATAATAATAATAATAATATTATTATTATTATTATTATTATTATTATTATTATTATTATTGTTATTATTATTTATTATTATTATTATTATTATTATATTATTATTATTATTATTATTATTATTATTATTATTATTATTATTGCTACAAGGTGACCGAAAAATCTGGACACATAGGTGAAATTGCATTTCTTAGTAATTATACAGTAATTTTTAATGAATAATATTTTCATTACTCTTTGCAAGATTGACACAAACAATTTCGTCTATGTGTCCAGACTTTTGGGTTACCATGTATTATTATTATTAGTATAATTATCGCTATTAATTTCATTCGATTGCTCATTAAACTTTTAATAAAAATACTGATGTAAATTTATATAGTTACTAAAAAATACATATCGATTTCCATATAGATTTCTATGGTGATATAGTCATCACAGGAGGTTCGTGTGTATAGCGAAAATATTCGCTGGTGAGCCATTGATAGGTTTTACGTCACATGACTAAAGGTTCCACTGACCTGCTCATGATTTGACTAACACCGTCGCCACGAGAAATTTTCAATATATATATATATATATATATATATATATATATATATTATATATATATATATATATATATATATATATATATATATATATATATAAATATATATATATATATATATATATAATATATATATATATATATATATATATATATATATATATATATATATATATATTATATATATAATATATATATATATATATATATGGGTCCCTAAATATCATCCATAATATAAAATATGTTTAGATAATAGTCGGTAAATTGAAAATATAATATGTGGATGACAAAGATATTGAGCAACACAGAGATAGAGAAAGAGAAAGAGATGAGATCGGAAAGTTAGGAGGAGATATATGACTGGGAAGTGAGAAGGGAAGTATGTGAAGTAGGAATGAGAAATTAGGACAAAATGAGAGGGAGAGCAGAATAGGAAGAGAGAATTAAATCCATATAAAACGCACTTCATTGATAAAATATAGACGTCCATGACATAGATATTGCAGAGAGTTGACTTTGGGCTCATGTGTTGTGAGGTTCTGACTACAAGGTTGTGAGGGCTTAGCTTTGTTATTACTTAAGCCATAAAGAAGACTAGGAACCGCGAGTCGTAAGGTTGTTAAGTGTTGGTGTGTGTTGTGGTGTTGTTGGGTGTGTTGTGGTGGTTGTGCGTAATTGTTGTGTTGGTGTGTGTTGTGGTTGTGTGTGGTGAGTGTGTTGTGGGTATTGTGTGGTTGTGGTGTGTTGTGGTGTGTTGTGGCGTATTGTGTGTTGTGGTGTGTTGTGGTGTGTTGTGGCGTATTGTTGTTGTGGTGTGTTTGTGGTGTTGTTGGGTATGTGGTGTGTTGTGGTGTGTTGTGGTGTGTTGTGGTGTGCTGTGGCGTGTTGTGTGTTGTGGTGTGTTGTAGTGTGTTGTGTTCTGTGTGTTGTGGTGTGTTGTGTTGTGTGTTGTGGTGTGTTGTGGTGTGTGTGTGTTGGTGGTGTGTTGTGGTGTGTGTTGTGTTGTATGTGTGTTGTGGTGTGTTGTGGTGTGTTGTGTGTGTGTTGTGGTGTGTTGTGGTGCGTTGTGTTGTGTTGTGGTGTGCTGTTGTGTGTTGTGTTGAGTGTGTGTGTTGAGGTAAGATGGTGTGTGTTGGTGTGTGTTGGTGTGTGTGTAGCCATTAGAAACCCTAACAAGATTTTGGGATATGAAATCGACAGGCTGCTCCATTCAACATCTCATGTAACTAAAAAGATCAACATA